ACAGGGAGTCCTAGACTCCTGCCTCGCGGACTACGAGCAATTTTTTTCCCTCACGGACGACTTGATCGAGGCGGAGGCCAAGTATGCTAAGGAAGCGCGTGAAGCTCGGCTGAGTGACCTTTTTTTTTCGTGGGGAAATCCTCATGGATACCTTCCGCTGCGGGGGCAACAAAAGGTTATGCCGGACTCCTAACGGCTAAAACCCCACGGTGGTCACCATCAGCGTATAAGAGGGGTCCCGGGATCTCCGTTCGGAACGCAACCGGGGCCCCTCCATCGCTTTGCTACACTAATAGCACGTAATAGCGCCTAGTTATGTAACCCCCAAGGAGGACGATGGCTCGGAAGTGGTCTCGAGACATCGTGGAAGCACTGCGAGGGTGCTGGGAGCAGAAAGTACTGCCCCTGAAACGTGCTATCGGCTGAGTGGTCTACCCGAGTCTCCTCGGAAGCAGCCTACTCAGTCGGAGCTGTTGGGACGACTCCCAACTCTGGACCTGCCAAGGTTCTCCGGGGTCCTCTCCGACTGGCTGACCTTTGTTGGTCTTTTTGATAGCCTAGTGGATGCCCGGAGGGACTTGACACCAAGTCAGAAGATGAGGTACCTCCTGGCCTTACTGTAGGGGGAGGCCCTGGGCGTCGTCGGCCATTTGAAATTGTCGGACGACGCCTAATAGACTGCGCGGGACCTCCTCGCCGGAAGGTACGCCAACGTCAGGCAAATTGCGGACGAATACGTTAGGCAGCTTCTAAACCTCTCGCTGCTTAGGGACCGGGCCAGACTACGTCCGTACATCGTAAATCCAGTCGTGGTGGCTTGTAATTTTTAATAATTAAAATTGAGGCGGCTGGATTTACCGGTGGACGAATGGTCCTTCTTGTTGCTCCACATCGTGCTGTCCCGCCTACCTCTCGATCTTCGGATCCATTACGAGGAGAGATACGGCGGTGACGGCGCCTCCTATATTCCGCCCTTCAGGGACCTGCTGCGGTTCTTGGAAGAGCACTGACCACCTACGGGTTGCCAACCGAGCCGTGCCCAGGGAGAGGCGGAACCCGCTGGGCAATTCGTCGCCAACCCCGCTAAGGCCGAGCGGAGTTCCCACGGGAGGGCACCGCGCCCAACAATCTTATAGCGGCCTAGCGGCCAGGAAGGCGCCCCCATGCTCCTATTGTCGAGCATCCGATCACCGGGTTACGTCGTGCCTGAAGTTATTGAGTAAGCCAGTCCCGGCGAGGCGAACCATCGCCAAGGAGCGCCGCTGGTTCTACTCGTGCTTGGAAAGGCACCTCCAACGAGACTGCCGCACCAGCGGCCCTGTCCGCACTGCCAGGGCATCCACCATGCCGTTTGGTGCCTGCGTGCGAACGGCGCTTCCTCTCGGGGCTCTGCCGGGCCCTCAACTCCCACGGGCGGGGGCGCTCAGCCACGTCCTCTGTCGAGCAATGCTCGGCGCTGGCCTGCCGGCCACCGTGCCCCTGTTTTCGAAGGGGGTCCCACCCCCGACCAGTCGGGGGGTCGTTCCCCCAGGGGCGAGGGATCGTCGCACCCCCTCAGCGTATTGAGAGGAACTTTTTTTAACAGTGGTAGAGCTTTTGCTATCGCACGGATGGGCCGGCTCGAACCGGGGTGATACCACGACCTCACAGAAAACCAGCGTGAAGTAGAGGTTTACCTCTGCGTTTCGCTTGGTGAGTGCAGGTGGCCGGAGGCCCTTTTTACTGGAAATGAGGCATTCCATCTTAGTCCTCACGGGTGACAACGCATCTACATTTTGATTTGTAATAGAAGATAGATGTAGATGTCTATGGGCCGCAGCAACCACTTACCATCAGGTGGACTGTGTGCTCGTTTGTCACCCTTATCCTATAAATAAAAAAAACTTCACGGCCACTCAGCGGTCAGCTAGACCCTTCTCACCCCCGTTAGCTAAGTGGCCGCGACTGGAGTACCACCCTCCCCCTTTGGTCGGTACCGGTACTACGGGGTTCCTGCGACCTCGAATCTGGCCCGGGACAGTTTCGAGGTCGCAGCCTGTTCCACGAAGCTCCCCAGGTCGGCCCGTTCTGTGATTTCCAAACACGGGTCATTAAGATGCCGCCGGAATGCCGCTTTCGGGACCCCCGGTTCGAGTGCCGATCAAATAGAGGCAGCTCCAGCTAGGTAACTGCCGCCCTAGCTCCCACCACGGCCGCCTCCACTGATCCTTTGAGCCGTCAACAGTCCACTTGTCAAACCATTCTATTGCCGACAGCCTCAGTGAAGGTGTACAACCCGAGTGGCGACTGTTTAACGGTTCGCGCTCTATTGGATTCTGGTTCACAACGATGTGTGGCCTCCACTTGGTTGGTGGGAAGACTAGGGCTCCCCTGGAGCTCTGAATCACGTCCAATGGTAGGTATCGGAGGTGCCGAGCCTCCTGCTCCTAGGGGACAAACGGAGTTGGTGTTTGGCCCTGCCAGCGAACACCTTCACATTCTAGTTAAAGTAAATGTCCTCGATGACATTGTAGGTTTTCTCCCTAACGTCCGTATAAATGACAGCGCGGTTCGTTGTGCGTCGGGTTTGAGACCGGCAGACTCTCAGTGGTCCCAACCTGTGCCTATAGATTGCTTAGGGCCGACGCGCTGGGATTCATCTTGTTCGGCGCGATACGAGCCTTACAGCCCGATGGCTTATCAGCCATGTCCACTGTATTTGGGCACAGCTTCTTTGGACCGGTTCTGTGGTCTCCATCTCCTCAGACGGCCGACCCGCTCTCTGTTGTGGGCGTGTCCCTTTCCGACGTCGTCCAGCGGTTCTGGGAAATTGAGGAGCCACCACACGCGACTCGAGTCAACCCTCTGGACCCTGAGTGCGAGTTGTTCTACCAGAAAAATACCGGCCGGCGTGTCGACGGTCGCTTTGTCACACGCGTACCCTTTCTTGACTCACGGCCCCCTTTGGGCCAATCTCGTACCCTGGCCGAAAAGAAGTTGCTTTCCATGGAGCGCCTTATGCGGCGCGACCCAGCCTTTCGCGACAAATATGTCGAGTTCATGCCCAAGTATCAAGAGCTGGGTCATATGTCATCGTCCAACTTCGTCTGGCGGTCACAGGAGCACTACTTCCTCCCTCACCATGCGGTCTTGAGGACCCCTGGAAGTAAGATTCGGGTAGTTTTTGACGACTCCGCACCCTCGTCAAATGGTGTGTCCCTGAACCAGTGTCTCCTATCTGGTCCTAAATTGATCAAGGACATATCCGACATTTTGACCTACTTCCGTCGGCACCAAGTGGTTTTTGTAGCCGACATTCGGATGTTGTTTCGACAATCACTGATACATCGTGCTGACCGTCGATATCAGCTGATAATGTGGCGCGAGAAGCCCAGCGATTCGATACAGGTGTTTAGAGTTGAACACCACTACCTATGGACTCCGGTCCAGCCCGTATATCGCGAACCCGGCTTGAACTCGCTGAGAGAGAGCGTCTAAAATACGCTCAGGGGGCTTCTATTTTGGAGACTTCGGTCTACATGGACGACATTTCCATCGTCGAGGAGGTTTTTGTATTGCGAGTAGAATTGGTTGCCATCCATAAGACCGGAGGTTATGAGTTGCGCAAATGGTTGTCGTACTCCTCTCATATTTTGAAGGATCTCCCAGGAGAGGATCAACAAGACCCTCATCTATTCGAGCACCCTGAAAATCCTAATTTATTGACTGTGCTGGACATTCAATATCAGCCTGTTCAAGATACTTTCACGTATCGAGGCAAACTCGATCCCCCTCCTAAAGCATGGACCAAGCGCTCCGTGCTGTCTACGGTAGCCCGCACCTTCGATCCTAATGGATGGATCACTCCAGTCATTTTTTGGCTAAGGGCTTTTTTCAAAAGCTCTGGATATCCGGGTTTGGACGAGCCTATTAGCGGTGCTCTCTTGCGAGAGTGGCTCTCCATTGTGTCCTCCCTTCCGGACATCAACTGGGTCTCCATGCCAAGGTGCTTCCTCCCTCCAGGGAAATGCAGGGCTACCCTACATGGATTTTGCAAAGCCTCTGAGAAAGGCTATGCTGCTGTCGTATATTTGCGGACTGTGAGCTCTTCTGGCCATACTTCCGTCCATCTCGTGCATGCTAAAAGCAAGGTTGCTCCCATTAGATCCCGCTTAACTATCCGGAGCCGCTTTTCTCTCGCGACTCCTCAACCACGTTCACTCGTCTTTGAAGTCTGTAATCGACATTACGGACGTCTACGCGAGGTCGGACAGTGAGATAGTACTTTGTTGGCTCAGGCCTGCACCTCACAATCTTGAAGTCTTTATGGCGAACCGCGTGTCTCAAATCCAGAATTCTGGGACGTCTCTAAACTGGAGACATGTCCCAGCGGAGTTGAATCCCGCAGAGTGCGCTTCTCGCGGCTGTGAAGCCCCCTCTTTGGTTGACCACCCGCTGTGGTGGGGTCCCAGTTGGTCGACTGAGTCTCAATCATTCTGGCCCCAGAATAAATACTCCGAACCGATTGAATTGCCTGGCCTACGAGCCCGAGTAGGAGTGGGCAAGGATAAGCCCACTCGGGATTTCTCCCTGCTAGAACGGTTCAGCTCTCTCGATAAGCTCTTAGGAGTAACAGCTTGGTTGAGTTGATTTGTCCGCAATTCGAGAGACCCGTCCAACCGAATCTCTGATTCCGTTTTGTCCCTAGCGAGCGTCGCGAAGCTTCGATGCATTGGACCCGTATGGTCCAAGCGGAGCATTTTGAGCCCGTGATTAAAACCTTGAAGCTGGGCTCCGTTGTCAAGGGCGCTCTGGCCCGTCTGAACCTCTTCCTGGACGACGCTGGGATGATGCGCGTTTGCAGACGTTTGAAAAATTCTCAACTGCCGTATGGGGCTCGACACCCGTTACTGCTTCCTAAGGACGGCGCCTTTGTTCGGTTGCTGGTAACTTGTAGCGATTAGGTATTCTTAACTGCACTATGTCTTAGGTAGTATGGTGAACAAAGAAAGTCCAAAGTTCAGTATAAGTCAGCTATAATGATTTAAATTAGAATTTACATTTAACACATAAAACAAGCCAAAAAATACTACACTGGATACAAACAAAAAGAACAAGAGTAAAAGGGCGGAAACTAACAAAACAATACGGGAATTAAACTATCGTAAGTATAGAAAAATGCAAGGCGATCGAACGTGCGTCTACTCCGGAATCTCTGAGCGAGTGAAGGGCACCTTGGCGTGATGAGAGTATGGTTAATGTCACGGACGTAAATTCCGAAGGTTGCCGAAGTATTCCGATGGCCGTGTGCGCGCGCGAAGTGGCTTTGTCCATTGTTGGTATCCCACAGTACTCCCCCGCCGAGACCGTGGCTACGGTCGATAGTAATCAGGAAAATGAACTTTTCTTCCACTCTTAGTAATCCTTTCCTTCGTTTTTTGGTCGTTATGGATGCATGTTGGAAGAGGAGGTGATGAAGATGTAGCAACCGAAGTATTTGTGGGTCCATCTGTAACATACGCAGGTTTTAGACGATCAATACTGACGCTGACCGCTTTATTTCGCACGAGCACTTTATAAAACTTCGGGTGCCTGCCTAAAACTTGATACGGGCCCGCATATGGAGGCTCTAGTGATTTTCGTACATGGTCCTGACGCAGGAATACATGACTGCAATCTGTTAGATTTTTGGGTATATAAAATGGACCATTTCTATGCCACTTAGCTGGTTTTGGCGTCAGCTTAGCCATATGTGAGCGTAGACGGGCGGCGAAGGTGGTGAAATCTTCAGTGCAGTGGTTTTCTTTAGGGCTCATGAACTCGCCAGGAAGGTGAAGAGGTTCGCCATACACCAGTTCAGCAGACGAAGCTTGAATATCTTCTTTCCAAGAGCTGCGAATACCAAGAAGAACAAGCGGAAGTACCTCAGTCCATTGTGTAGAGTTGTGGCACATAATGGCAGCTTTCAGCTGGCGATGTACGCGCTCCACCATTCCATTAGCAGAAGGGTGGTAGGCAGTTGTGCAGAAATGACAAGCACCAACCATGGATGCGATTGCCTTAAATAAGCTGGAATCGAACTGGCGTCCTCTGTCCGTTGTAATTCGAGCAGGGCAGCCGAATCTGGATATCCACCCAGATACCAGAGCGGAGGCACAGGATTCTGCTGTGATGTCTTTCAGGGGAATCGCCTCAGGCCATCGTGTAAATCTATCGATGATAGTGAGGCAATATCTGAAATCATAAGAGAGAGTTAGAGGCCCTATAATATCGAGATGTATATGAGAGAATCTCGATGAAGGCGTAGGAAAAGAGGAAAGAGGAGCGGAAGTGTGACGGGTAATCTTGCTTCGTTGGCAATCAAGGCAATGCCTAGCCCACTCTCTACAGTCTCTACGAATGCCAGGCCAGACAAACCTATCAGTGACAAGACGTACTGTAGCTGAACTTCCTGGGTGACTTAATCCATGAAGCATATCGAACACTTGCCTTCTAAATGCTTTTGTAATGAAAGGTCTTGGCTGCTGTACAGATACGTCACAGTATACTTTAAGGTTTGCTCCTATTGGTTCGATTTTCTGTAGGTTTAATGATGAACCGTTTTGCAGCAGATGTTGCAGTTCAGGGTCTTTATCTTGAGATCGTGCAAGAGCCTGGTAATCTAAAGATATTTTAATTTCTTCTACCCGTGAAAGCGTATCAGCTACTACATTATCTGGTCCCGGAATGTAGCGAATGTCAGTGGTATACTGTGCAATAAAATCTAGGTAGCGATAGCGTCGCGGAGGACATTTATCTCTTACAGTAGAGAAAGCATAGGTAAGAGGCTTATGATCTGTGTACACACTGAAGACTCTAGCCTCTACCATGTGTAAGAAATATTTGATTGCTTCGTAAATTACTAGAAGCTCCCGGTCATAAGGGCTATATTTTTTTTGTGCGGAATTCAGCTTTTTCGAAAAGAAACCTAAGGGTTCCCATTCAGTGCCCTTGCGTTGTTGCAGCACAGCACCGATGGACACATCTGAAGCGTCGGTGTGAATTGAGAGCTCGGCCGATGAATTAGGATGTACTAAAAGTGTAGTATAAGAAAGAGCATTTTTGCATTTTTCAAATGCTTTCAAAAGATCTGGTGTCATACTAATGGGATGAGATCCTTTCACTTTAGGTCCCGCTAAGACGGCGTTTAACGGTGCTTGTATCCTAGCTGCATTTGGTATGAAACGTCTATAAAAATTGATCATACCTAAGAATCTGCGGAGTTCCTTTACAGTGCGTGGTATGGGAAATTCTTGTATAGTTTGTACTTTTGTATTTAGCGGTAAGATGCCGGCTGCAGACACATGGTATCCAAGGAATGTCACCTCGTGTTGTCCCCACACGCACTTCGTCGTATTGATCAACACGCCGTAAGCTTTTAATCTCTCAAAGAGCTGAAGTAAGTGGCGTTTATGTATTTCAGGGGAAGGTGAAAAAACCAGAATATCGTCGAGGTATCCGAAGCAAAAATCGTCAAGACCAGAGAGCACTTCATCAATGAATCTCTGAAAAGTTTGCGCTGCGTTTCGCAAACCATAATTCATGAAAGGGTATTCATAAAGCCCGAATGGTGTAGTTATGGCAGTCTTTGGTATATCCGAAGGATTTACAGGAATTTGGTTGTATGCCTTCACTAAATCAATCTTAGAAAATATAGTGGATCCAGAAAGTTGGTAAGAAAAATCTTGTATGTGACGAATGGGATATCTGTCAGGGATAGTCCTTGCATTAAGTGATCTGTAGTCCCCGCACGGCCTCCATCCGTCATCTTTTTTCTTTACAAGATGTAAAGCTGATGACCAAGGACTCTCAGAACGCCTTACAATGCCTTGTGCCAACATATCTTCAAACTCTTTTCGAGCAATTTTCATGCGTACTGGGTCTAAACGCCGAGGCCTACAGGTTACTGGCGGTCCCGGTATAGTTCTTATAAAGTGTTTTGTATTATGCTTAGGTGTAGTTACAGTACCTGCAGGTCGGATGATCTCCGGGAAGTTATGTAACAGCTGTTGAAACTCGTTGTCACCAGAGATGGTTTTGATTGAGATGACATCCTCTGGGACTCTCTGGCGTTGTGCGGATACACAAAGGGTAGTTGTGCCATTTATTAGTCGCTGACTCCGGCAATCTACAAGCAGATTATAAAAACTTAAGAAATCCACTCCTATAATGGGTTTCGTAATATTGGCAATAGTGAAATTCCATGTAAAAGTACGTCTGAGTCCAAGGTCCAGCTGTAGCTGTATAACTCCATAAGTATTTATGACTGTACCATTCGCAGCAATCAAACTGTACTTTGTAGGGGTACACGGCGTCTTAATAGCTGACCGTGGGAAAACACAAAGGTCTGACCCAGTATCCACGAGGAAAAGCATTTTAGAAACACGGTCAGTAATAAATAGACGGCCTGTGTTAGCTGGGCAATCGTTGGCCGCTACTGCCGACTGCCCGTTGAGTTTTCCGCCTCCCAATTACAAGGTGCTAAGCATTTTCTGGCACGCTTACCATATGTAAAATGATACCAGCAGTGAGGATGATTTGGAGGTGTCTGTGGTGGTCGCGTTTTAGAATAATTGCGCTTACCTTTGACCCTAGATTTAGATCGAGATCTTGAGCGATATCGGGGATACTTATTTACCTGTGTTGTAGTAAGTTTCGCTACTTGCTTAGTCAATTCACTTATCTGTTGAACCATTGCCTCGAAGGAAGAAGTAGTATTACCCGAAGATGAAGTGCTGGCGACTTGTCCTAGTGTGGTTGGCGCAATCTCGTGGACCTTATCTGCCAAATCTGCCAACTTATCTAATGGCAAATCAGACTGTGATGCTATTATTGTTTGTAAATTTCCTGGTAAACGGCTTGACCACAGGGTATTCAAAAAATCATTAGGAACTGCGGGTCCGGCAAGATGTTGTAAGTGTCTTAGAAACTGAGATGGCTTTCGATCGCCCAACTCCTCGTGCATGAGAAGTTGTTTAACCTTACGCTCCTGGGACGCAGAAAGACGCTTAATAAGTTCCGTTTTTAACTTTTCATACTTGTTTGTTGACGGCGGTGAAGTAATAATATCCTTTACCTCTGTTGCATACCGGTGGTCAAGTTGTGCAATAACGTGGTAGAATTTTGTTGTATCAGACGTCACATTTGATAAAATAAACTGGCCTTCCATTTGGGCAAACCATAAACCTGGTTCCTCAGGCCAAAAAGGCGGAGGTCGCACACTAACTCTGCAGGATTCTCCAGCAGCTGCATCTTGGAATTTATCATCCGTTGCCATCGTCGTGGTCACCAATGTAGCGATTAGGTATTCTTAACTGCACTATGTCTTAGGTAGTATGGTGAACAAAGAAAGTCCAAAGTTCAGTATAAGTCAGCTATAATGATTTAAATTAGAATTTACATTTAACACATAAAACAAGCCAAAAAATACTACACTGGATACAAACAAAAAGAACAAGAGTAAAAGGGCGGAAACTAACAAAACAATACGGGAATTAAACTATCGTAAGTATAGAAAAATGCAAGGCGATCGAACGTGCGTCTACTCCGGAATCTCTGAGCGAGTGAAGGGCACCTTGGCGTGATGAGAGTATGGTTAATGTCACGGACGTAAATTCCGAAGGTTGCCGAAGTATTCCGATGGCCGTGTGCGCGCGCGAAGTGGCTTTGTCCATTGTTGGTATCCCACAAACTCACCATAATGTTAAGAATGCCCATGCTGGGTGTAACGCTCTTTCGGCTATTTTGCAGCGGGAGTTTTGGATTTTGGCTGGCCGACGCACCATTCGGAGCGTCCTCTTTAAGTACATACCTTGTTATAAATTGTGGGCCACCATATCGCAGCCTATGATTGGCGACTTACCACCCGACCGCGTCAGGGCCATCCGACTATTCGCTGGAGTCGTAACAGACTTTGCTGGCCCCTTCCTCGTCAAGTCCTCCAACCTTCGTAACGCGCGTTTGCATAAGGCCTATCTGTGCGTTTTCGTGTGCCTCACGACTAAGGCCGTTCACTTGGACTTGTAAGTGCCCTCAGCACTGAAGCCTTTGTGGCCACACTGGACCGCTTTGTATCGCGTCGTGGTTTGCCAGACCTGATCCGGTCTGATTGCGGAACGAATTATAAGGGCTTGGATAGATATTTGAAAGAGGTCATCGAATTTCTGTCCAAGAAGGGCATACAGTGGAATTTCGACCCTCTGGCTTGCCCATACTGGGGCGGTATTTTTGAGAAGGTGGTTAAGATTGCAAAAATGCATCTCTGTTGTGTTATTGGCGAAACTATTTTGACATTTGAGGAGCTAGCCACTGTATTCTGTAAAATTGAGGCGGTACTCAACTCTCGGCCCCTCTGTCCGCTCTCGTCCGATCCGAATGATTTGGAGGTTCTAACCCAGGGCCACTTCCTGATTGGCCAGCCGCTTAACGCCCTGCCCGAGTACCCCTTCAGGAAAATAAATTCTTCGCGCTTGAGCAGACTTGACCTGCTGCAACAGATGTCTCAGAGTTTTTGGCACTGGTGGTCTCTGGAGTACCTACATCTTTTGCAGCAGCGCATTAAGTGGTCTGAAAAAACGGATCCTCCTCGGGTTGGAGACCTCGTGTTAGTTAAGGAACCCAACGCTTTGCCTTTGTATTGGCGCCGTGGGCGCATGGTTAAGTTGTTGTATGGATCGGATGGGGTACCTAGGGTGGCCGAGGTTTTGGTTGGAGATTTGGTCTTGCAACGTGCTGTCGCGACCCTATCCCGTTTGCCAATTTACTCGCAGACACAAGTCCTTATGCCCGGGACGGGGTTTTGTTTAGGCCAAATCTTAGCATTTAAAACTTGCATTCAAAATGCTCGTCTCGGCAGCCTGACGTTTGGGCTACCAACCGGTTTTGACGGCTTAGGCCGGCGGGACTCGCTTGTCCGCGGCGGCCTTGTCCAGTCAGTCTGCAAGTTAGCTCGAATCGTTAGGTCGCGTGAAGGCTGCCTCTTATTGCGTAGTCTTTTTCGTGCTTTTACGTGACAACGAGGCTTTTCTTGAGTTTGAGTGATTAACTTATTTTCGATTGCCATTAATTTGCGTCGACGAGTTGCTTGTGTGGCATTTTAATATCGTACGAAGACATTTTTCCTTTGTCGGTTAGAACGCTAAAAAATTGTGACCCGAGAGGAGATCGCGTTCGTCTTCGATTATAATTTTGTGCTAAGTGACGTTAGACTTGAGTTCACACGGAGTAGGCACACGCAGCGCCTGGAGTAGGCACACGCAGCGCCTGGAGTAGACACACAAAGCGCTTGGAGTAGGCACACGCAGCGCCTGGAGTAGGCACACGCAGCGCCTGGAGTAGTCACACGCAGCGCCTGGAGTAGACACACGTAGCGCCTGGAGTAGGCACACGCAGCGCCCGGAGTAGGCACACGCAGCGCCCGGAGTAGGCGCGCACAGCGGCTGAAGATAGCGCGGGCACTAGTAGGTGGAGGCGTGGGCGTGGCTAGGCGACGACTTCAGGTGAAGGCAGAGGCTTGCAGGATCCCGGGGCAGTGCGGCCCCGTGATAAGGCCTTTAAGAGATGCTTCAAGTTTGAAAGCTGAAGCGAGACTGAGTTTATTGGCCGATTGTTCGGCTTTTATACCTTTTTAGAGAGCTCCGCGCTCGACGGCGGATAAGAACGGAAAATTATTTAAATTAAAAGCAAATTTTTGTAAATGGCCAAGAAGAAAAAAGTATTTTTGTGGAAGTATTAAAGTAAAAACATCAGACCGGTAACGAATTTGAATAAAAATTGCCATGACAACCAGATAAACAACGATGTCAAAACATGTCAAATTTTGGTTTCAGGCTCGTAATAGAGAAACGGCAAGATTTAAGTGAAAAAGGAGATATTATTGATATAGGAAAAAAGGTAGCGCACCAGCGCGCACGAAGCCCGAAATTGCAGAGTTACGGAGAACTAAATAAAAGATCGAAAAAGGTAGACTCCATCGACATCGATTTAAAAATGCTGATAGCGTGAAAATACAAAGTGAAAATGATTTGTTATTGTGTTCTTATGGTTTAAAAACGTTACAGGATCCTATGGAAATAAAGGTGATACAAAATATCCAGTTTTGAGGTGAATGCAGAAAATCAAAACAGAATGGAAAAATGAATTTGAAATAGTGTAAAATGATATGTAAGTAGCATAACACTACACGTAATAGTAGAGAATATTATATTTACATTATGTACTTCGCTGAATAAATCCTTAGTATACTAACTTGGTTCTAACTGATCTAATGTAATTGAAAAATAATATCTGACGATGGTGATTGTTTAATAAATGATTGTTTCGTTTGTTCTGACTATTTCTTTCTCCTACTAGGCCTTTGACAATGATAATTTGTTTATTCCTAATCCTACGATCACTTTAACGATAATCCAAAAAAAAGTACAAAAAAACAAGGGGAAATTTATTAAAGGTAAATATAAATTTTGATATTTATTAAAGTAATCATACAAAACAAAACCAGAGAACATTTCAGATCACATTTATAAATAGAGCTTTGATGTTAATGCTGTCGTTGTGAACTTTGTAAATTTTGATTTATGATTCGAAGAAAAGTACATTGTAAGTTGTATATACATTTATTCATTAACAGAAACTGCTATATCAGGGATTTAATATTTTTTTATTTATTTATTTACTTATTCTTTAGGACATGGCTCATAAAACGATTAAAAAGGACGAACAAGATGCCATTTGGCATTATCGCACAATCAACCCAGATTAAATGAAATATGAGAAAATAATTTTATAAAAACATCACCACGTGGTGGTTGCCAAAGAGAAGTTTTCACCCAATTTCTTCCCACGGTGTAAGAGGCAACTATGAGAAATGCCAATCAAATGTAAAAACCATGTTGTTTACGCCAGATGTAAAATATAATAGGTGACATGCAGCAGCTTTAAAAATATGAGGCGTCTTTTTTATAGTATAGAGGTGATAAACAGGCACACAGTTTACGGGTACACCTGACAATAAGTAGATGATGTGGCCCATAGACATCTACATCTGTTTTCGATTTTGAATTGGAATGCAGATGCGTTGTCACCCCTGAGGACTTAGATGGAATACCTCGTTTCTAGTAAAAAGAGTCGGCGGTTCTCTACACTCACCATACAAAACATAGCAGCATTAAGATTCTATTTTAAGCTGGTATTTCGTGAAAGCGTGGTCCTACACCGGTAGACAACCCATTCTTGTTAGAACCATATGTGTCTGGTACTGTGATCGTCAATACGCACCTACAACGAGAGAGGAGATCCGGGCAGAGGAATTAGGCCTTATGACGAATTAAAACATTAATAATGATAATCTAAAATTGATTAGATGAAACGAGGCAGTGAAACTTACTAGCGAAAAATAATATTATAACTCATGTTCGTCTAAAAAGTTTGAAAGCACTCTACGTGAAAACGAGGAACTACAAACCGAATGAATTTATTTTAACTGCTATAAGTTGAACAAGCGAAAACAACACCGTCAGCAAACTGCTGGCTTTGTGTTTTACGAATAATGCTTGTTAACTTGATTTTTTTGTGTTATAGAATGAAAACCTATGCAGACCATAAAGTATTTATTCTAAATGTTATTGCGATAAGAAATATAAAAATAAAATATCCCGTTTTCCACAGTATGGTGCCAAGAACGCAGGCAGCTTTTCCTGGCTATACTTAGACTTTGAGCAAGGAAAATACATAAATATGGTTTATAATTAAGTTTAGACTTTTTGCTGGAACATAAGAAAAAATCACCCATATATTTAACTTTAAATTACTCGAGGAGTCTTTCCGATTTTAAAATTGTCGACGCGGCAAGAGATGCAGAAAGTCGATGGATGTGGGTGGCTCAGCACTGTGCTTGCATTTCTTAGGGGAGGCCTCTGTTCAGCAGTGAACTTGTGAAGAGCTGTAGTGATGAAGAGGATGATTGTACGAGTATATAACTGGTTTCTATAATTTTTTAGATTATTTTACTTAGAAATTTCTAAAAAAAAACTCTCTCAATTACTAAAAATTAATAAATAGTCAATACTTGAACTACGCGTTATTGAATAGAGTTATTAACAACAATTTTACTTCCGTTATACATGGCTCTTGCAACTGAGTTTTTTGAATTTCTTACAAGTTTATATTAAATTGTTTAAAAGCATATATATATATATATATATATATATATATATATATATATATATATATATATATATATATATATTCACGTAATTTATATATACACTGACTGCACTGACTTTGCGTTGGCAATAACTCTTTTGAAGGACCTGGAGGCGAAGTCTCACTTCTTTTTAAGCATGATGGTGATTACATCCCGAGCCGCCGAAGCCTCAGCCCAGGCCTGATATCACTCCTGCTTACTGCGTAATGCATTCTTACAGGAGCGACTAAACCAAGGCTGAGATCTGCCTCCGATGAGTACCACAGATGATGGAATAAATAGTTCCATTCCTTGTAGCACCACATCAGTGACAGAGTCAGCAAAAGCGCTGGGATCATCCGGCAAGAAGCAAACCCGCCCCC